CATTAGCCATGTGCATCTCCTGCAAAAAATAGGTTTCTCCTCCACAGTAATGCACATGGAATTACTGTTTTCAACTGTACATTGCAAATTTGCAAGTATAAAGCAGTAAGACTCCAAATTCTCTGCTAATTATGCAGTTTGAAACAGTCAACTTGGTGGTAGACATAGCAAAACATTGTTTTAAATAGAATAGGCTTCCTGGAGATTTGTAAGAATTTTGCATTATGATGTTCTGATTGCTAGACATTAAATAAAATAATGCTGGTAGTTTTATTGGAGGGCCACCAAATCTTAGCTAATATTGCTTATTTTTGTTCTTTTGCACAATCAAAAATAAACCACAAAGAATTCAAAACTCATCTTAAGTTTGATATTCTAATGGGAATGTTGAGGATCTACATGCCTCATGTTTATAAACAGTGTTTTTATGTATTTATTATGTTTATTTGTATATTTATATAATTGATTCCTGAAAAAAATAGATTAAAGAGTAATGTTTTCTGATGAAACCAAATGTAGAAAGTTTCCAGATTAAAGAAAATTATTTGAGTAAGAGAGAAAAGAGGAGTGAATTACAACTTTAACAGGCCAATTTAGAGCATGGAGGCAGCAAATCTTGCATGAAAGCAGCACTTCTGCCATAAGGTGCAGACTCCGCTGCCTCCCACACCACACACAGGGATAATGAACTGGTTGGTCCTACTGATAACTCAGTAAAACATTCAAGAACAAGTAAAGTAATTAGAGTTGTAGAATGTTAATCTAACAAAAGTCACTAGGATCCAGATTTCTGCATCCCTTGAGTCACTGGGAGAGATCTTAGAACAAACTCAGACACCACAATCCAAAACTACGATCATGACTAAATTTTTACATTTAAATTTTAGTACTGAAAACTGCTCCAATCAGCAGAAGCTGGAGAAAATTTAGCTTTGTTCTCTGGAAGACCTGCGCACAGTCTAGAAACTATCTCTTTCCTCACTAAAATGCCTCCCCATCCAGTCTGGCTGCATCATCAGCCTATGTTTTGCCAACAGAGACGTGTCCAGCACAGCTCTATTTTAGGATATGAGTCAAATAATGCCATCCACCTGAAACAAAATGGGAACAAGCACTTTGTTCTTCATGCTCCACAGCCTGTGAAGATCCAAACGTACCCTGCATAGACAAAACAAACCCTTAGCTCCAACCCGGACTAGCTGAAGCTGTGACCCGATGTATAGTGTGAAACTCAAGTACATTGGGTTTGGAGTGAATGTGTATCTTCCAAAAATCCTTGTCCATAGCAAGTGTAGACAACTGGCTCCAGGTTCAGGATCAGCTCCAGGTTTGTGTGAAATAATCTCCATGATAGTCACTTCCTGTAGTCCTCAGCCAACTATAAGTATTTATGCTTACTGCTTTGCTTCAGTGCAGATGTTAGGACCCAAATACTTCAGCAGCAGAAGCACAAGACCAGTAGGTCAATGACAGCAGTACTTTCCAGGTGAGGCTTTGTTCTAGTAGATCCCATGCCTCAGAGATGACCTTATTGAGGTGAAGTTCCATCATCACCCAAGAATGAGTCTTCCAGGGCAAACTTAGCGTCTCCTCTCTTTTCAGGTAGTGATTTCAAACCTTTAAATCAACTAATGAAGCTGGTTGAACTGGTATTACCAGAGTTTCTCCAACCATAAGGAAGGAAGGTATCTTTTCCAACTCCCCTGTGATCAGAAGGCTAAAGCAGCTCTAAAAACTCTGTATCTAGTTAGGAAAAGACTCCTCAAAGCAAGAAGTCAACACAGGCACTCAACTGACCTCGTTTGGATACCTACCTACAGCATAATTCACAATATCCTAAGTGCCTGTTTCCACCAACCGTGACATAAAACAAGGACAACTAGATCAAAGACACCTATTGGCCAGACTCACAGAGACAAATCAGTCTAAAGGGTAAGCTCATAAAGAATGAGGGAAGCACAAAACAATATATCCTGGAAGCACAGAGCCATTTTTGTTTGCATATTGGAAAGGAGGGAGCCAAGGGAGGGGCAGGAACGACAAAACTCAACATTAGTCAGCAGGAGTTTCACACGCCTCTCCCTACAGTATTAAATGCACTCAACATGAGCTACTGCTACACTAGAGTAGCTACATCTCACATTAGACAGACATGGCCAGGATGCAGTCACTCATCTCCAAGCACTAGATATCTGAAATCTACATCACTAGAAAACCCAGATGCGTTTTGCTGGTTTAACATCTGACCAGTTCCACATGCAAATAATGCAAGTCATGTCAGAATCCCAAAAGCAGAGAAAAGGAGGATGCACCAACAAACAGTTCTGTTGGGCAGTTCACTTTTATTTAGAGTCTTTTTGCCATGAGCAGAGGCAGTCGTAATCTGGACATTGGTCTCTCTCACAGGAGCTTCTTCCTTGTTACCCAGCAGCAGAGCTGTCTTGGGGGCTGAATTTCCCTTACATCTTCTTGCTCAAAACTTTGCTCCTACCCCTGTCTCCAAGCACGCGTGAACCCTATTCTTTCCAACCAAAACAACAAGGACAAGTGCAGGGTCCTACACCTGGGAAGGAATAACCCCAGACACCAGTACAGATTAGGGGTTGACCTGCTGGAAAGCAGCTCCGCAGAGAGGGATTTGAGAGTCCTGGTTGACAACAGGTTAACCATAAGGCAGCAACGTGCCCTCGTGGCCAAGAAGGGCAGTGGGATCCCGGCTGCACCAGGAGAGTTGCCAGCAGGGCGAGGGAGGGGATCCTGCCCCTCTGCTCAGCTCTGGTGAGGCCTAACCTGGAGTATTGGGTGCAGCTCCCCAGTACAAGAAGGACACTGAGCTTCAAGAAAGTGTCCAATGGAGAGCCACGATGATGCAAGGACTGGAGCATTTGTCATATGAGGAAAGACTAAGCAAGCTGGGCCTGTTTAGTCTGGAAAAAAGAAGGCTGAGAGGAGTTTTGATTAACACATTCAAGTATCTGAGGGGTGATCATACGGAGGATGGAGCCAGGCTCTTCTCCATGGTGGCTGGTGACAGAACGATGGGTAACACAAGAAGTTCCACCTCCATGTGAGGAAGAACTTCTTTACTGTGAGGGTGCCAGAGGCCTGGAACAGGCTGCCCAGAGAGGCTGTGGAGGCTCCTTCTCTGGAGATCTTCAGCCAGCCTGGATGCCACCCTGTGCCCTGTGCTCTGGGTGTCCCTGCTGGAGCAGGGGCTTGGACTATATGATCTCTAGATCAACCCTAAGCATTCTGCAATTCTATGAAAACCAGGTTTGAGTGAGATTGGACATCTGCTGTCTGTGCAGCTGCTTTGCAACACAAGGAGCCCCAAAGAAGGCTTGAAGCTCCTGTCCCCCTTAATGGCCGACTGGTGCCACCTGCACACTCAGGAGTCTCTTCCCAATGGAGAATGTGCCTGTAGCTGCACGCACATCCACAACCACTAAGTATCCACAAAAATCATCTCCTGGCTGCACAGCTAGCGGCGAGGCTGAACACCAAAAGACATCTCACTACTGCTGACAGCTCTGTCAATTCTTAGGACTCGTGCTGAAACCTTAAGCAACAAAAAGATCTCCAACTTAGTGATGTTTTAGGTAACCGAAGCCCAACCCATTTTGGGCTTAAAGGCAATGACTATGCCTTAAAATGTGAGGCAAGAACCAGCTCTGCATTTCTGTGGCCACCTGTGCTGGGCTACAGC